ATCGACCCCCCTTCTCCCTCACATCGCGGTCAAGGCTCTTTCCTCTTTTCCTACTGTCACGAAACACCCACAGTCATTACCTCTCTATGCTCATCATCATTGATATCCTCGCTTAATGGACAGCCTAGTTTGTCACTCTTTGACCGCAGGGATTTGGAATTTGGTTGCAAAAACGGTTTTTCTGGAATGGTTTGGTACAGGGCTACTTTCAGGAATCAGCACGGCAGTGCTGGCAAGGCTTTTACACGGATACTGGATGGCAGACGGTTCTGGATGGAAGATTGCACCTTAGATAGAAAACGTAGGGAAGTCACAATCAAGAGCTTCTCTCATACTTGTGTACATTGGTCGTGAATGTGTGCCGTAATTTCAGTCACTGAGGGGGCTGGGCTGGAAGCGTGACAGTGATCGACGTCGTGTATCTACTCATATAAAGTACCCCCGCCGCTGCTGGGTGTCCATCATGACAAAAGCCTAACGTAGACACATCAACCATGCCGCGCCAAGTCACCGACGAACCCGGGCCCTCGCGCCCACGCTTCCAAACCGTCCGTAGCGCCCGCAACTCCAAACACGACGTCCCCTGCGGCGAAACTGCCTCGTCTACCCCAACGGCAAGCTCGACCACACGCCGGGGGGCGTCTTCGGTAAGTTTGCGCAGTACCTCGAGCTCGATCTCAAGACGCGGCCGCCGAGGGACACCTGGGTCGAGGAGAAGGGGAAAAGAAGGCGTGGCAAGAGTGGGCGGCACCGGAATTGTGAGCGGCCGAACCGGTTTTATCCTGACGAGGATGATGTCGCGGAGGAGCCAATCATGGATTTCGAAGATGGACCTACTATGGAAGGAGTCTAGCTAATATTGCGGCTGAGCGACTTGGGTGAGGGGGCAGGGTGTATCCTGTGCGTCTGGTGCCCAAGGGCAAGACGAGGCCGGCGGATGAGGCTGCGCGCGCGTTGCAGCGTCACGAGGATGAGCGGCACGAGAGTCCTGATGAGGTCAGGGCCATGGTAACCCCGGAAGTTGGGGTGAAGAGGGCCAGGCCGTATGGCCTGCGTCGCGACGATGGCGATGAATGGCGATGACGACTCGGTGGTTGAAAGACCGGGAGGGCTTTTTAGTAGGTTAGACCGGCTCAACTTGCTGGACGGCAGTATCTCTTTCAGTAGGTAGCAAATTCATTATTTGGGCGGCAACAATTGGTTGCTGAGATAATAGACAAAAGATACAAAAAAGAGTGGCCAGGACGAGAATCGAAAGGTACGTACGACGACTAACCGCGGAACGTCAACACCAGCTAGTCTTCGCACAACTACCCCTTGACCACCCGTCCTGGCTGTAGAATGGCATAGAAGCTGAGTTTCCTATAGGGGTAGCCGTGAGCAGGTTCTGCGGACTTTGACTGCTGGGCAACGCCGCTTGCCTGGGCAGAGTTGGACACACCTTAGAGACACCAGTATAAATTCAACAGCTCCGTCTCGTTATACTCTCCCGATGACAAAATGTCATCTTTTGTTTGTCCCAGTTCTAGCTTCAGCTAAAATGCTAGCTTCGATTGGTGGCATTCTAGACGTCTGTTTCCTACGACGCGTGCGGCGTTACGCTCGCGCCCAAGGCAGCCCGAATACCAGGCCAAACACACGCGAGATAGCAGCTGAAAAGGACAAACGTGAAAATAGAAGTTCTGATCTCGTTGTATGTGAGGCGGCATGCAACACCCCAGACCTTCCTAGATAGGTAGATACGAAAGACACTGACAATGCGCTCGATGACGCTGTGTTCATGGAACAGGATTACCTGTTCATTCATATCTTTTAATGGTCAGTCTTGCGACTGCATTTTTCATGGACTTTCATCCTGCAGGATACGATGCGCGTTCTGAGGTAGAAACGGCAGGGGCGCCACCCACACCGGGCAAGAGCACTTCGGTCTGCAAGTATATGAAGGGTAAATACGCTCTGTCAACAAACCCATGCTTTCAACCACAATTACTGTCGGAAACCATCGCTTCTCAACGTTTGTCAACACAAGGCTGCAAGAGCTGTGCAGTAAGCCAGACTCCTCTGATGTGCCCCACGAAGCCATCCACCAACTTTAGGGGCCTCAACGTAGCTGACCTGTGATTACGAATAGGTGGCAGGAAACAATGCAAAACGATGATTGAAGCAAGAGATATCGTAGATCAAGTTGATGCCTGCGCGTTGATCCAGGTGGATTGGGACTCGTTATTGCAGCTGTGTCTATCACTGAAATCGCCTACAGGACGCTCCATTGGTCGGGTTCGGTTTCGACTCAATTGGTTTGATGAAAACCGAGCCTGCTAAATAAAATTTGTCTAAAAATAAACTAAGATCATACTCGCTATACATCCAGGCCAGCGCTAGATACCAGCCCACAGATATAAAATCATAAGAATTGACCCGACTTTCCTTGCGGGCTTTGTCACAGATGAAGTCATAGCTGTGTCATACTAGCTCCGAGACTCCTCTAACAAAGACATATGGCCATGAATCGCGACCATGGGCGTGGACCCCAGCTAGATGGCGAGCCGAATGCTCTCTAATAAGCAGGCAGAGACAAGGATGAGAGACATTCCGGCTGGGAGGGCCCATTCGGTAGTTAACTGGGCATTTCATAATATTGTAAAAGACTGGCTATGGTGTGATATGGTCTCCTGGTGGAAACACTCCGCACATCGCTGCATTTCTCGACATTGTTTCCGGGATGAGGTTCGCCGTCGCGCCTGTTGAAGTTTTTTTATGCTGAAGTCATCGAATGCTTCCAGACTCCTTCTCCTACTCTAATGAAGGTCTGCATGCTTGAGCTCTCTGTCCATAAGACAGCCACCATCTGGCCATTGGCATTCGTCTGCAACTCAAATCTAAGATGTCGAAGTCCCGGGTGGGCCTTTAGGCAGGTGGTCGGAAGAGCACCGAAACGGTCCAACCGATCGTCCGCTTATTTTTCTCCTATGTCGTGTACTAAACTTATCTACTTTCATGTGGCCACTCTGTCAAGATCAAGTTTATCATACTGAATGCCTTCACAAAGAAAATGTTGGATGGAGAGGGACGCCAGAAGGGGGCACGCTGCCACAACTATCACAGACAAAGACATGCTCCGGAAAGCTCCGTGCGTTCAAGACATCATCGTCGTGACAGTTAATGGGCTGGAAGCTTGCACAACATTCACTACAATCCTGTTCAGAAACATGCCCTGGGACAAGGCCCTCCTCGGGTTTGTGTGGAGCAAATACCAAGAGGTTCCAACCATCGTTTCACAAGGGAGGCTGTGCCTAATGAGCTTTTAAAGGCACTGAGTCCTCACTGATCAGTTTATCGACAGAAATGGGAAATACATCCATATGGCGTTAATCTCAATCCACCATGAACAACGTCAAATCTTTTGTAATTGATGAGTTTGTAAAGTGGACGCGATTCTTGAAGTCCATCCCGATAGCGCGCTCGGGATGTATATCAGCAGCATATTCCTCATATATGATCGACAAATGAAGACGTCAAGTGACGATATAAAACGAGGATTCAGGCGGCCTCAGCTTGTGAAGACAACCCCACAGTTCGCACGCACAAGTTGCTGCAACTGTCGATACCTTACTTCAAACCCATCCTTGTCTGGCGCTAGAAGCAGACGGAGACTTGATTTCACAACCAATACCTCAAATACTATCCGCTCAACTGAAAAGAAATGGGCATGTTTTTAATTTGTGGTCACTCTGCGGGGAAAGTCTCAAAGACAAACATATTGAATGTAGTGTTGATGCCAGCATGAAGTGATCAGTTGACCAGCAGGCAGGCACCCGCATCTAAGCGATAGCCCTCCCAGGAGATGATTCCGGCTACAATACCACCGAAGTATGACTTGATATGCCGAATAGTCAAAGTATGGTTTTCAGGAGCCAGGGACTACGGACTGAGATGACAGGACACCACTCGCTGTGTCTCTGTCTGCGAGTGGTTCACCTTGTGGTAACGATGGTTAGACCTTCTTTACTGACACCTACTCTTGAAACGAAGATCAAAGATCATCTCCAATTGGCCGGTCATTTGCACTGGCAGTGAAGTATCTGCCAAGGCCGGCATTTATACCGAGGACAAGGTGACCCAGGACGTGAACAGCGCGACCACTGATGGCTTCAGCTCGACATGTATAAATTAGCGCTTGATTGCCTTGCCGCCTAAAGTCTACCAAGATCAAACTGCGGACGGGTTTCATGCGAACAAGGAGCATGGGAGCTAGCGTTTCGAGTCCAAGGGCACTTCCCGCGAGGCTCAATATCGTACTGCCGCATTTTGTCGGCGCGAGGTCCGCCAACGTTGGTGCTGCAATGGTCCTGAATACGCCGACGATACTGATGACGGTGGACGGCGCAAAATGCACTCAGATATAAGTAAGTCTACGGCTGTGACTAGAAGAGCTCTGCCGACCTTGAAAGTCGACGTTGGCCTCCCGCCGACGTCCGACTTCGACTTCGACTGCTGCTGCTGCTATTGATGCTCAGCTAGCCAGCAACGGCGCTCAATATTTATAAGACAATTGCAAATTGCAGATGAAGCTAGCTGGAGTCTGAAAGTTTTTTGTGCTAAGTATTAATGCCACCATACCATCCGGAAGGAAGAAACACCGTCGCATCGGCCCGGCGCCGAAAGCAACCCCACCAAAGCCGACACCGACCGTCGCACCCCGCCGCCTCAAGTGGAACAACATGCAACCTCCCGCATTTTTCATTGCCGTTTCATGTTCAGCTCCTCAACTCACGACATTAATTTCAAACAAATCGAAAACCTCAACCACCTAGGCAGCAGTCCGCCCTAATTCAGCCTGCAAGTCAGCCCGCGAGGCAACCGCCATCAGCCCCCGCCACGGCAAGCTAAAAACCCGCACCGGCCCCGCGTCCGGTCCATCTACCTCAACCTCAACCTCATCGGCCACCATACGCATACCATCATCTTCTCGGCCTTCTGCCACCAACTCGATAAACAAAATGGCCACCTCCCAAACCTCACCACCCCGCCCGTCCCCGCCATCCTTCACCCTCACCTACCCCCCCTCCCTCGAGTCCTACAACACCCCAGCCTCAACCTGGCTCGCAACGCACAACAAGACTTGGGACGGCCTCGCGACCGCCGCCCTCGTCTTCTCCCCGTACAACCGCATCCTGCTCCTGCAGCGCGCCGCGCACGACAGCATGCCGAACCTGTGGGAGACGCCCGGCGGCGCTGCGGACCCGGAGGACGCCTCGCTCTTCGCGGCCTGCGCGCGCGAGCTGTGGGAGGAGGCCGGGCTGACGGCGACGCGCATCGTTCGCGTCGTCACCGAGGGCGCGGACCGCGAGCCGGGGAGCGTGTTCACGAACCGCACGGGCAAGATCTTCTTCTGCCGGTTCGCGTTTGAGGTCGAGGTAGAGGGCGCGGTGAGGATTGACCCCGAGGAGCACCAGGACTTTGTGTGGGCTACGGAGGAGGAGGTGCGGGCGGGTAGGGTTGGGGATAAGGAGATTCCGGTGACGAATGGGCAGATGATGAGGATTATCTTGGATGGGTTCCGGAGGCGGAGGGAGCAGGTGGTGGAGGCCGTCGAGGGGAGGTGAGGAGCGAGGCGTTCTCATGGTGACTCTCTAGCTTGAGAGGATGAGGTTGATGTCTCATGATGGGAGGAGAGGGGCCCGGAATGAATAGATATTATGCCTTCTACAGATTCTGGAAGAATAGATGTATAGAAGGGGCCTCTGAACTCTCGAACTTCCCAATCACCATCGGCAGTGGTCCCTGCAGTCTGAGATAGACATACAAGGCTAAATAAACTAGAATCTGAACGACAGGGGCAATGATAATTCACATGAGTATAACCCGCTCAAAATACTACCCAGAACACGGCCACGTTAAACAAGGACCTCGCTTGCCATAGTCTACGCGTTTGCGAATCTCTCACAACATGATCGGAAATCCAGGCACCACAACCCATCCCACCCTCAGTATGCACCGTGCTTCACGAGAGCTTCTTCCACGGCCATTCCCGCGCGATACATATTGATGGCCTTGGACAAGGCCACAACGCTCACAATGCCCAGCACAACAACACCGCCGAGCTGGATGGACCTGATGGGATAGGTAAGTCAGTGCGCGAGTGAGAGAGCATCCCCGCCACCACAGTCCGCAACACGCACCGGAAGTTTGTGTCCTCAGCATTGAGCCATTGCTGCACTTCCAAGAAGACCATTTTGAGACCGGCAGCGACGCCTCGCATTCCCTTGTTATCAACCTTCTGGACGGGACACGTTTGAGCCGTCTTCAACAGAGTTTGGGCACGTTGAGTAGCACTTTTCGGCAGCGATTGGACGTGAAAGAGGAAAGCGAGGCATCTGTGTCAAGATCAAATATCATGATCAAAACTGGGAACCCTCTCATGGCGACAGCAGCCTTGCGGCGTGTCAGCTGGACACTCCAACACTCCAACACTCCAACAGGAGACGTGGCGGCTGGCACACCCATAAGATGTGCCTCTCAATTCACAGTATATTCCGTCCAGTAGGCGAGAGAGAGCCAGCGAGAAGATGTAAGCTGCAGCTGGCCTGATTGGAGCATTCGCAGAGGTGTCAGAGCCTTTGCTGCGGGAGGATGCGGCTCAGTCCAATACTAGCTACCTCCGGAGCAGGGGTGTTAAATAGCAGGAAGGTCATATTTGGAGAGGTGGTCATCCCTCGATGAAGGAGCCGCCGGCGCAAATATTCATCGTGGAAAGGAGTCACGGGCGTTCCCGCTCGAGTTTGCCATCGTCACATTTCGGTGGCTTTGGGAGCGATCTTGGATTCGACGCCATTGCGCAGGATAGATATGAAGATGCAAGTACTGAGGCTCGCCGGCGACGTTACGGCACAATGGTGAGGGGAATTAGTAACGCCGGTTGTTCAGGATGAATGCATGCAAATGCATGCCCCTGGCACCCCGATTGCAGAATTTCGAAATCGTCGGGGACCTTGGCGGCGGCCCGATTCGGCCCTCTAGGACCAATTTCGCTGACGGCTTGGCCGAATGGTCAAGGCGGCGACATTTGGGACTGCTCGAATGCATCCCCGACGCAGGCTGTGGTTTCCGGACATATGCAGGGCAGCATGCCTGACGCCCAAGGGCGCCGCGATGGCCGGAGCGGATATCAAAGACGCCTCTGTCCCAAGATGTTGGGACCGGGTGGCGGCAACAACGACTTGCATAAAACGGGCCTCCAATCTGTTGGATATTTCCACATCTTTGGCGGTGATGCCGGAGGTCCGTAGGCTCAGGCCTAGGCCACCGACCAACATCTCTTTGCGCGCTTGACACGGACCGGGCGGACCGGGCGGGCCAGACGGAAGATGGCTGGTATCAATCGTCATTTGCGGCTCTGGCGCGATGCAGTTCCTCGCCCTCGCGGTGGAGGTCGAAAGCGCGATCAAGGAGTGCGACGCCCACAGTCGAGGCCAGTCATGTCGCATGATGGCGCTACTGAGAAGACCGGTAATGCCCGACGTACGGCATAGGCATAGTAGGGCTGTTGGGTGCTCATGCCCAACATCCAGCAAGGCGGCGGACGGCACTTGCCTGCGTTAGTAAGGCTTCTAGCGGCAGTGGTTGGCGCGGAGTTATTTGTCGGGATCTTCAGGGAGATCGCTATGGTGGCTGACAGTGACCGATCCGGCTTCTTAGATCCGAGGAGATGGTCGAAGGATGATGACATGAGTGAGGCGGGCGCGATGGAAGGAGCAGCGGGGGCTTGTGGCTTGCTCAGCGTGTCAGCGAGGAAACAGGCGGGCGGTGAAGACCCAGGGTGCTACTGTAGGAAGGCATTCGTTAGATGGCTGTATCCGTACCAGAGGGATGTTGTGCGGGAGAGGGACGTACAGAGTGGATGCGGCGGGATGGTTGGTGAGGCTGCTCGTTGTGCTTCGTCGAGGCTGGCAGGTCGGTCGGGGAAAATCCGTGATCGGCGTGGCTTGAGTCTTTCGCGACCGCACCCCGCGGAGGAAGGTGCAGCTGCAGTATCTTGCGTGACTGCAGCAATTGCAAATCACTGAACGACTCGTGATGTGACTGAAGACCTGACCAAAAAAAAAAAAAAAAAAAGACCCTTGATATCTCCTGACGTCGAAGCCCCATCGGAGGCCCAGTTGCAATGCGAGGGTACTTTCTGCTAGCGTTGAGTTTGTTACTGCGCGACTTCGTTGGCTGATTCGTGATGACTGTCGACAATGTTTTGGACAATTCCAGGGCGCATGATATCACGGCCTTGTTCTCGTAGATTGCGGTGAGCTAGCCTGGGCTCCTGGAGGCCTGGACTTGCTTAGCTGGTCTCCTAAGACAGGCTAGCTGGCCGTTGGTTTTCTTGTTTATTGCCATTGGGCTCGTCGTCTGGATTGGGCTGCGGGTGACAATCCGCGGCTGCCAATTGGAGAGCTGCAGCAGACGGTCTGACGGAGACGGAAACAGAAAGAGCGACAGCGTCGGTGGCAGCAGCAGGTAGCATCGTGACTTCTCAAAGTCCAATTCAAGCAGTCGCGTCCCCGTGCCGCCTTCCTACCCGCAGTAACTCGGCTGCAGTGGTTGCCCTTTCCAGCACTCGGTACTGAAGCAGGTGCAGCAGGAGCAGCAGCGGTGCACCAACACTGCAGTAGCAGTGCAGGTGGTTACGAATCCACGACTCCATGACGCCCCACTTTTGAGCTCCTGATGACCTCAGCGGCGTCGATCTGGATCATGGCCGCAGCTCCCCTCCCTCAACTTCCCCACACACTGCAACTTCCAAGTCCGATTTTTTTTTTTTTTTTGGTTGGTGTGAGCAGCCCTTTTCCCCCGTTTGGCCATCTGCTGTGGAACTTCTCTCCTGGGCCCTGGCTGCTGTGAGTGCTGCGAGTGGTCTCTGTCAGCCAACAACATCCGTTTGCAGTCGTCTTGGGACAATCACCAACAGCCGGCGCAACCGATACCCTTGGCTAGTCTTTGCGAAAACCTTGCAAAAATAAACGACCTCGATGCATATCCGACGATACAACGGCTTCAAAGAGCTTAACCCCCGGAACTCGGATCTGCGCCTGACGTTTCCTCCGCCAACTACTGCCTACCAAAGTACTGCGTACAGAACTTCAGACACGGCGGTCGGATCCCCTGCGCGAAATTCTGCTCAGCACTTGGGCCTGTCGCGCATCCCAATCCTGCTTGCTGTACAAGATACACTCTTCCATGCAGCCACAGGTTCGCACCTCGACGATGACGCAGCCGTTCCCTGAATCCAAGTCTTGACTTTGGCGTCCATGGACGACGCACTCGTTGCACAAGCACGCGCCACCAAGTAAGCGCTGCTTGTGCAGTTTACACAGGCACAGCTTGATGGCCAACCATTTCGCATACTGCATAACCGCGCTACTGTTTCTTGTCGACTTAATTCGCGCTAGAGCCTTGTTTCGAGACTCAGAGACTTGGCCGACTCGCAAGACATTCACCTCCAATCCTTCCTCGATACCAGGAAGCCTCTACCCTGGTTAACTCGCATCGTACGCGCCCAATGACCACTGGTCTAGTCAACCCTCCGCACGAGGGAGACACGCTTGCGAGACCATGATAGAAATACAGGCAAACTGAACCAAGCTGCCGTCATCACCATCATCAACGCCAGTATCTAAGCTGCTGCTACTGGCGCCGGCCCGCGCTGGTCGCCGCCACGCCTGCTGCCGCGTCCCCACAGCCGGGTGTAAATCTGCCGCCTCGCAACTTGGCAATTGCTTCAACGGTATTCGTTGGCGCGGCCGCGGCTGCAGGAACTCTAGCTAACAGGTTGTCTATCTTCAAGTACGAGGCATGAACATGGCAATGTCGCGAAAGCCTCGATGCATACATTTTGGCGGCTCCAAAACTCAATGTCCATCGTTCGGCCGCGACCGCACCAGGTGGACTGCATTGTTCGGTCGACTGCCGGGATATCCACGTCTTTCTGTGCGGCCCGCCTATCGTTCGCCCTGCCAATACACCGCTCAAACAGCTGGCCGCCTGTTTTTGCTTGACGGCAAGCCTGGGTTCGCCTTGTCAACCACCGAAAGCGATCTTCAGGCTGTGGACAATGTCCCCTACTCTTTTTCGATAGAGTGCTTGCAGAATCGCTTCTTTCATGGCGGCAAACCATTCACAGCCCTGAGATGGGATTTGTGTGCTACGAGGTCCCCTGTTGCCAACCCTAGCCATCAGTTTCAATGCGCCTGCTACCAGGCCAACCCTGCCAGCGCGAACTCATCGGGTTGGAACACCAAAGTTGAGATGGCAGAGATTGCGTCTCAATGCGAAGGAAAGGGAGATGGAGAAGCACCATGATGCAGACGGGCGTGCGATATGAAACAAGGCCGTTGGACACCGTACGGCTGGGAGTTTTGGTACAGATGACGGCGAACGATGAGGTTCCAACTGTGGTTTCCAAACTCGCAGCTGCACAGATTAACCTGGCTAGCACCACGTCGTGTCTCATTCGCCTCCTTCAGACTCAGGTTATTCCACGCGTTTTGAGCTGTCAAGTGTCACACTTTTTTACTGGCTTCGCGGCACGTCCCTCGACATCTTCGCAAGATGACTC